ATGAATATTTTGGTGTTAACTCTTCAAGTTCAAAGATGCTTATAGCTAAGAAGGGAAATGCATGGTTGAAAATAACCACTGTGATTTATATTTTTATGAATGTGATCCTAGTTTTTGTTGCATCATGGTTGAAAAAATTTTTAACAAGGGGAAAAAATATGGAAAAATTGTCATAAAAGACTTTTCCATCAAATTAATTGCTGAAAAGAAGTTGGGAGAGATTCAATATTGAGGTCCTTCACTGGCAATAATTGTTGAAGGCTAAATGACAAAAATGCCTCCACTGACAAGGAAAAAAAAGTTGAGCAAAGTCCTTCATTGTCAATATGTTACAAGGTTCTTTGTTGTCAATAATTTAATATCAATACTTAATACAAGATCTTTTAGTGTCAATACATCAATTTAGAATACTAGAAGCATGGGTTTTCAATTATATGCAACGATTATTTTGCTATATATAATTGAACTCCAATTATATATAAGAAAGCTTTCATTTATTCGAATAACAACCATTGATATTTTGAAATTTTTTGACTTAAAAGTATTTTAGAATACTAGAAGTAGGAGTCTTCAGCCATATGACAATTCTTCCACCTAAACAAGCAAATTTGAATTTTTGAACTTAAATGCATTTGATTTTTAATTATATGCAAGAAATTTTTCATTCATCCAAATAACATCTTTTGATGTTCTAATTTTTTTAACTTAGATGGATATCACATGTTGTTATTTGAATATCATAGAAATATATTCTAAAAATTTTTCCTTTCTTCATGAAAATACCAAATGATATTCTAAAAATCTAAATAATTATTTTAAAAATTTGCTCATTTTTCATGAAAATACCCATGGATATTCTGAAAAATTTACTCAGTTTTATGAAAACACCTATGAATATTCTAAAAAGGCATATAGATATTCTGAAAATACAAATAGTTATTATGAAAATTTCCTTATTTTCCATAAAAACATGTATGGATGTTCTAAAAATGCATATGAATATTATGAAAACACAAATAGTCATTATGAAATTTTTCTCATTTTTCATTAAAAGAATAATGGATATTTTAAAAAATATACATCCATGAAATATTAAGCATGGAAAAATATTATAGAGGAATACAAGCTATAAATTGATGAATGCGTTTATCAACACCAAATTAATACAAGTTTTACATCTCATATGGATTTTACAACAATTACAATTCATTAGTACTAACTCTCAAAACATTAAAGCAAACCACAAGCTGCCATTTAATATAAGCTATTACATCTTATGAATGATTTTTCACGTACAATTCATCCCTACAAGCTATTGCAATTACAAAACAATAAATTATATCATATAGAAGTTCTCTTTTGTAATTTTCTTTTGTCTAAGAGGTCCATGCTCAATTACATCCCTTTTTTATCTAGCAATTTACTCCATAGCATCTAACCAAGGATTCTGTATCACCAAACAATTTGCATGATTGCAAATTGATAAACTTCTTTTGATCTCATCAATTAAGGTATATATTGCAAAAAGTAAAGTTTCTCATAGAAGTCAAATAAGAGGTAAGTTAAGGTGTAAGGGGAAAAAATATTAACATTTTGATAGATAAGATATAGCTACAACATTGGCTATTATACCCTGTTGCCCCTATATGCTTTATCATGTTGTCGCTTGTAGGCAGACAAATATTTCAAAAGGGTTTAAATTAAAATGGAACAAAGAACACACTTAGGAGAAGATAATCAAAATTACCAAAATTGGGAGTCAAATTTCAACTTACTTTACCAACTACACGAATCAAGACAAACATAAAGGTTATGTATGTTAACCATTGATATGATATTACGAATATGTAGGAATTCTAACATAAATACAGAGAAAGAGTATACATTGGGAAAACTAATTATAGAGAGTCCTAGGAAACCTACGTAATCATAACCTCAAAGTGACAATTTTTTCAACCAAGCAGGTGCATGGTTATCAAAGGATATCAAAGAGTGTAGTTTGAATCCTTCGTATTCTTACACCTGATGAAGATTCTCCATAATCTGAAAACCCAATAATGATTTGCAAGATAGATGCAACAATGAGTAACCCTTGCATGACTCTCATGGACTTTTTAAATCTCTAAAATTCAAACCTAGGAACACTATAACATGAAATCAAAATACTACAAAAGGAAAATCAATTGGAAAGACGAGAAGAGAAAGGCATAGAACTTTGATCAAGTTGCAGAAAGCGCACCATACTGGCAAGAGCACTTGTATAATCTCAACATTTTCATATATTGAAAAAATTATTTGCAAAGAAGCATAACAAATTCGCACAGCCTAAAGATCATCAAATTGTTCATTCTAACTAAAATGAAAATATTTGCCAAAGGGAACAACCATCAGGATCAATATAAGGTTAGATCAAAAGGAGAGATTTAGTTGTATAGAATCCAAACATTTAAGGCAAAAACTCCACCCTCCAACGCACTCAAACCCATAAATTTTTTATCACCTTTGTCGCTGCTGTCACCTCCGACGTCAATTCCTTTTTCTCCATTAAGTCTTAGCCAAGCTCTTTCGCCCCTGACCCTCCTAATTTGCTCAAACTCATCAATTTTCGATCGCCTCTGTCATGCTTGTCATTACTGTCTATTGCTCCTTTGATGCCTTGGAGCTCTTGGAATTCTTGCCTTTCACTTTTAAAGAAACCCTGAACACTATTAATATGCCCTTTCTGGTTTTTGCTCTTCACAGAAATTCAAAGAGGAGCAGGAAGGGGTTAAGGATAGAGAAGACTAATCAGATATGAAGGCAATGATGAATGATGAAGGAGAAATGAGAGGAAGGCGAAGTCGCTGCCAGAACCGCGATGGTGTTTTGGTCATCTGAAGCTGTGGATTAATGTTGGTGAAGGACCTCAATTTGAAATATCTCTCAAGTCCTTATTACCAAACCTAAATTTGGTAAGATCTTTTTTAGCAATATTCAATTTTCCTACAAGGTCAATGTTGTTGGTAGCGATGCGGAACTCAAATGCCAAAGCTAACAAACCAGTTATGAACATGATTGTCCTTTGTTTTCATTGGAACTTAGTTCAATTTTATTTTTTTTTTGTTGGAAAGCTACCATAAACGACTAAATTATATATTCAAAGAAGGGGATAAATGAATATTGATAATTATTTTTGCAGTCATATCATTATAACGGGCAACCATCTTTCTATATCAAGCACAACTATAAATCTAATATAATAATCTCAAATTGAATTTTAATTTGTTCAAATAGATCGTTTTGAAAATATTGTCTCTCTTTGTGGCTACAATGACTATATTACGTTATTTTAATTAACGTCGTTTGCATCATACAAGAAAGATGACTTCTATTATGTTTATTTTATAGGTATGAGTGATAATACCAATTTTGTGAAATTTAGTTTCAGCTTGCTTTATACGAGGATATGCATTGGTAGAATTAACTAAATGGATCTATGGCCTCTGGGCTATTGACACAGACGATTATTTTATAATTAGTAATTTTTATTTCATCTACTTTATTATTCAAGCAAGAAGAAAAAGTGAAAGGGTAATCTTGTTTCCTGTGCATTATTTTTTTTTTGGAATATAAATGAAGTTTTTTAGGAGATGTGAGGGGAGTAATTTATATAGGGTAATTTTATTCTTATTGTATTACTTAAAATAACGTTATAGAGAATGAACAAGTGGCATGTCCTTTGTTTTTTTTTTTTTTTGGCCAAGGGAGGGGTATGATTGCGTGACCAAGCATGATTTTGAAATTTAGTTGTATGTATATTCAAATTCAAATAACTTCAAAAGTCAGTCTGATAGAATAATGTCTTATTTCAATTTCCTTTCGAATAAGTTATATGAGATTATTAGTTTCCATTGTAGCTATAAAGCTACTAGCATGACGATCTATTATGGTACTTGAGTTTAGTACATAATAAAGTGATGGGCTTTGTGAACATTTGTCGTCGTTTATTTTTAGCTTCTTGTGACATGTTATGGTTGGCTACAGGCTAGATGAAAACTGATATTAATATTTCCATTATAGATAACTATGCAAACCAAACAATTAAGATTTTTTTTGAATTAAAAGACAAGTTCGAGTAACCTAGAGGTACACCAATTTAATAGGTCACATATTGTCTATCAGCCTCAAGATAGGCCATGCATCCAGCAACAAAGGTCATTCAAAATACAAAAATAAAAAATTCCATTATAGGCATCTCTAACTAGAAAATCAGTTATCCATAAGACGTCGTGACTAGAATAATATATCACAACATTTCAATATGTGACGATTAGCTTTTGTATCTTTACAATAATTAAGTTACTCATATAAAAAGGAGTTCCAAAAATCTGCGTAATGTTCTTGAATCTCATCTCTGCGAGTTACTTTTAACTCCTCATCAGCGTCTTATGGGATCACTTATTGGGTAGATTTGATAAGAAAAATGAAGTTTGTTCATGCGTGGGATGAAATAAATTCTAACTTGCAAGTTTGTACTTTATATTTTAGCGCGTGTATATAAATATATATATATATATATATATTGATGTTAAAACTTACGACGTAAAATCAAAATAAAATAAACTTACTAATAATAGCGAGAGAATGAGCATATATTGGCATTTGAATTATGAACAACACATCAAGAATTTAGTTAGTTATTATCATGTTTATTTTTTATTGAACAAATCATAAATATTATTTTAATGTTTTTGTTGAATGCACTATAATTACATCATACATATATATTATATATATTATAAAAGTTTATGTTTTTTTATTTATAATGTAAAGCAATTCTTAAAAATATTTAAAATAATATTTTAAAATCTTACATATGAGGAATCGACTTGAAGGGGCATCCCCACAAGTTGGTTCCAAGGACCGGCACACTCATGCTAGCCACAGACTCGAGAAAAGCAGACAGAGACCTCAACTTTTGTGGGGTTACGTTATCTTCATCGATGTGCTTGCGCTGGCAACTGTCCTTCCAGTGGCATCATCAATTTGGCCAAATTTAAAGGTGCTACCACTACTTCGTACCTTACCATTGTTTCCCAAATTACTCGATTGTCTGCATTACATCATCGTCAACCGTTTCCCTCTATTTCGTATTCCCCTACACACCCTCTACCACCATGTCTCTCACTATTAAAATACACGTAGCTTCCTACCTCTACCTCAACCACAACGACCTTGCCTCCAACATAGCCTCCTCCCCCAACTTCATCTCCAAAATTCGACCCAGACCTTTTTATAATCCCAATCCTCTGATAATCTCCGGGACTTGTATTCACAGAATGCCTGCGGATCATAATTCTGGTGCTGCTCCCATCAGGAGCTCTTTGATTGACCCGGACGGAGGGACATTGGTGGATCTTGTGGTGCCGGAGAGCCTTAGGGCTTCCATGACGTCAGAGGCGGAGTCATTGCCTCAGATCAAGCTCTCCAAAATTGATCTCGAATGGGTTCACGTGCTCAGCGAAGGATGGGCCAGCCCTTTGAGAGGGTTCATGAGGGAGCACGAGTATCTGCAGAGTTTGCATTTCAATTCCTTGAGGATGAAGGATGGCATCGTTGTGAACATGTCTCTTCCCATTGTTTTGGCCTTTGATGATGACAGTAAGGGCCGAATTGGGTCGTCCCCTCACGTGGCCTTGGTTGGGCCTGATGGAGATCACGTTGCCATTCTTCGAAGGTTAGTCTTTTCTCATTTCGTCTCTCTTCGATCCATTGTCACTGTTATTTTCTTCTTGTTCACCGGAAGGGCGTCGGTCGAGTTCGATATTCCGATGCAACACGAACGGCACTTTCTTTCTTTAACAATAATAACATGAATGAAAAATTGTTATGACGAGAAAGGTTTTCTTCCATGAATACCTATTCCTATTGCATTTGATACTTTAAGGTTAGAGCTCAGTATGTATGTATGACATGCAACTGCATTTTGTGCTGAAATTCCATGTTGAGAAGTTGCCTAGGATGGCGGACAAGTTTGCCAACAGAACGTTTTCCCCTGGCTAAGTTTGGTGAAGAAGGCTCTCTCTTTCCAACTTTCAACCTTCTACTTTGAAGCAAATGACCAACTGCATTGCTTGAACTTACGAAATCGCTGTACAGTGTTCGTCTGAAAGGATTGTTCCAATGTTGTCTAAGTAAATGTTTTATGGCATATCTCTGCTTTCATTGACCTGTTTAGAGTCGACCATGTTACAGTGTTGAAATATACAAGCATAACAAGGAAGAAAGAATAGCTAGAACTTGGGGAACAACTGCTCCAGGGTTGCCGTACGTCGAGGAGGTTATTGCTCCAGCTGGCAATTGGCTTGTTGGAGGAGATTTAGAAGTTCTGAAGCCTATCAAGTACGATGACGGGCTCGATAACTACAGGCTTTCTCCCAAACAACTCCGCCAAGAATTTGATAAGCGGAAAGCTGATGCAGTTTTTGCCTTTCAGTTGAGAAATCCTGTGCATAATGGTCATGCCTTGTTAATGAATGATACTCGCAGGCGTCTACTGGATATGGGCTACAAGAATCCAATTTTACTGCTCCATCCTCTTGGAGGTTTCACTAAGGCTGATGATGTGCCCTTGGATGTCAGGATGGAGCAGCATATCAAGGTAATCCGGTTGTTCTTCTCATTAACTTGCCATGTTGTATAACACTTTAATGCCTTACATACCCTGAAAAATCATTTAAACTGTCCTTCATATAGCTACAATATATTTATTTGTCGCTGCACAGTCCATGGGACCATGTTCATGATTTGTCTTGTCTCCTAAATATAAGATCCATTGAATTCTATCCCAGCTCTTTTTTCCCCCTGCCCAGGTCTTAGAAGATGGAGTTCTTGATCCTGAGACTACTATAGTTGCCATATTTCCATCACCTATGCATTACGCGGGTCCGACTGAAGTACAGTGGCATGCCAAGGCAAGGATAAATGCGGGTGCCAACTTCTATATTGTAGGTCGTGATCCTGCTGGAATGGGTCATCCAACTGAGAAAAGGGATTTATATGACCCTGATCATGGGAAAAAGGTGCTCAGCATGGCTCCTGGCCTTGAGAAGCTCAATATCCTGCCTTTCAAAGTGAGTAATAGGACACGGCTTTATGTTCTTGCACCTCTCAGTCAAATATCTCTTCACAGCACTATCTTTGAAATGTTACTTTCCTCCATATTCAGCCTCAAATATGTCCGTCCTAGTGGGTAATTCCATCATACTTTTGTGATTAATATATGTGGGGAACTATTTCTCCGTGGTTCTGTTGACGGGAATGTACTATCTATGCTAGCTGGCCTTTTCATTTTCAAGTTTAAACGGGTAATGGGCTTGCCATTGCGAACATCTGTCTTGTTCTGATTGGGCACTCAATGAGACATCTTGTTGATTTTCCTAAATCCTAAGTTGCAGTCTTCATCCAATTGACCAAGAAATCCTAATCTTTGGGTCAAGTTTTGTTTAAATTGATACATTTTCACGTGGACAACATATTGATGCATATCTCGTATCCTCTTCTTTGAGTGGTTAAATGCTGTCGATCATGCATGATTCTACATACCCCAAAAATTAAATTATACATCTGTCTCTCTCACTGGCTTATCGTCTTCCAAAAATTTTAATGCTCATGAATTGTGTATTTCAATACATAACATGCTCCTCCCCCCCCCCCAAAAAAAAAATAAAAACATGCGTATGTGTACTGAGATAATCACGGATTTACACTCATTCCTGTGGCTTCCTAAATGGTGTATCCAGTATGTGTTTGTCTTCGTTTATTCTCTGCTGAGCACGCATGACCATGCGTATAACAACTCTCAGATAGTGGGTTATGATGGTTTCTGCCATATGTGCCATTATTTTATTGCAGGTGGCAGCGTATGACACTGTGGAAAGGAAGATGGCATTTTTTGACCCTTCTCGATCTGAAAATTTCCTCTTCATATCCGGAACCAAGGTATTGTCTCCCATCACTCAATCAAATATCATATTAATATCAGGCTCTATGTACCTATGATGTGTTGAATTTGTCATTAATTACTATGTTATCATTATGTGGCCTGATCTCCTGCCATGTTAAACATCTCTTCAGATTTGTACGTGATTGTCCTTAAACTTGTTTTGCTCATGAATTATCAACCAGATGTTTTTCCTCTGCAGTTGGAGAACCGTTTTTGTAGATATTTATTTTTTATTTTCTCTGGGATGTGTTTTACAGATGCGAGCTTATGCAAGAAGTGGGGAGAATCCGCCAGATGGTTTTATGTGCCCAGGCGGATGGAAGGTTCTTGTCAAGTATTATGAGAGTCTGCAGGCAGAAGAACAATCACAGCAGCCTGCAGTGATATCATCTTAAGATTTGACACTAAGTGTTAATTCTTAACGAGTCTGGAGAAAGAGTACTAAAAACTAAGAAGTGTGACTCCGTCACCAACTTTTGCCATTTCTAAGCGAGGTTTTCCAGGCTCATGATTCATGTTTCAGCAGGCTCTGGCATATTTGAAAATTTTGTACTCTTGAATTATTTTGAATCTTTCGTTAGAGAATTATTATGAGTAGGACAGCCTCACAAGATTTGATGTTGATGACACTTGTATAACGTAACTAATGTGGCTTTCGTGGAACCACAGTGGTAAATAAGCTTCATTGATAATAAATGTAAATAATCCGACTTCTAAGAGTTTTTATATTATATCGTTTGAAACCCCGCCATTAATTGCTCTCAAGCATCTATGGTGATTTCTGGATATGAAAACTTCATGATCATCTATAGACCTTAGGAGTGATGATGAGGTTTTTTTTCACTTGTACTTGTGCCAATATTAGTTCATGTCTGGTTTCCCCTGTGATGGTTTGGGTCAAACATGGTTTTGACTAAAGTAACGTGAGAGTACATTTGCACTTAATTTTGACCTGGAGAATGTTAGCTAGAAAAATGAATAGATGTGCACAAGCGTGTAATCTCATAATTAATCAAAGGCAAAGAAGAAAGAAAGAAAAAGAAAATACATGCATTAATTTTGTTTTATAAACCCGTTTCAGGTGTACGATTTGATGTGCACGTGGCATCCATCTGCTACATAGCCATAGGTGATAAAAAAAAAAAAAAGAGGACGGTTTTCTTCTGAACTACACTGTGCAGGAGTCACGGGCACAGTTGTACAGGCTAGCTAGGCTTTATTCACATTTAACGGGACAGTGGAAACCCTCCTAGAGAGTCTAATGGTTCAGGCCCACTCTATAACCCAGGTCCGCCTATTAATAAGCTCACTAACATCCCTAGGCCTCATCAGCCTCTACCAGGGTTGCACAGCAAATCGTCCCCCCGCCCCCCCGCTAGGACCCTCTGGTAAGATCGTGTTCCCTATCATGTCATGGTTGGTCGGTGTCTATGGTATAATACAATTTAATATCAACATATCACCTTAGTCTGTACTGTATATGTTGGACGTACATCCGTAAAGTCCTTTCACAGCTGTAATGGGGCCAGGATTTTTTTTTTTTCCCTTCTTTTCTGCATACTTTATTAGGTAAAGATAGACTTATAGACGTAAACATAAGGAAAAAGTGCATCACAAAAGTCTGTTTTTTGCCAGCACGTTAAAAACTAATCTACTAAATCAGGGAACTTCCTGAAATTATAAGTTTAAAAATAAATTAGGTCCCAAACAATAACTCTTGAGTATAATATCTATACATTGTATAATACTCCTCCAATTTTCTTTATAACTCATTTATATCAACTTTATCAGTATTAATATAAAAAAGTAAAAGTAATAAAAATATACTCTCTCCAATCTCATTTATAAGTCACATTTTAAAAAATCTATTTGATTTCATTTATAAGTTATTGCATTGCTTTTTAGATAATATTTATAAAATATTTTTAAAATTACCTTTCATGATAGAAAAAATATAATATGACATTACTTTTTAAATTTGTTATATATGGGTATATTTAAAATTTTACACACTTTTATTCCTTCTATTTTTTTTTATATTGATATGGATGAAGTTGATAAAAAGATTTATAAAGATGATTGAAAGAGTATACAATTTTAAAGATGTCCCAATATAACAAATTTAAAAATTAATGTTATGTTTTTCTCTCTCATGGAGAGTAATTTTAAAATATTTTTTAAATATTATTTAAAAAATTACACTATAATTTATAAATAAAATTAAATAAATTTTTTAAAATGTGCTTTGTAATAAAGCAAGTACTGCAGAATGCATGGGGCTGAAGTATGAGATGGCTTCAGCGTTGCATCACAGGGAAAGTATTGCACTGTGTATTTAATGTGTTGGGGCGAGGGGGGGTCCCCACTATTTATTCCGGCTACTATGATGGTGGGCGTGGAGCTTCTGTTAGCAATTGAAACACACAGGTGTCGGGTCTGTATGATGTTTAGTGGATTGGGGAAAAAGTAGTTGGTGCTGACACTAACAAGTCCTTACAACCCGCGTTGTCTAGTCAGGTTTTGAGTGCAAAAGTAACATGCCTACATGTGCTCCCTGGCAGTGGAGTGGAAAGAGTTATTGCCATTTCTTTCCTTGGAATTTGCCACGCTTCTGTTTCCTTTCTTTTCCATCAATCTTACTGATATAACTTGGGTGTGAACTTGTGACTCGTGATGTTTTTGCTCAGTCTGTCCTGTTCTGGGTTACGCTTTCAAATTTCTTTATGCTTTGTTCTCACACACATACATATACACCTACATGCTATCACCTTGCCTTTTATTTGCCAGTGCTTTGATTTGACGCTGTGTTGAATTGAACCATGCTTGATGTGAGTGTTTAAGCTTAAGGAGGACACAGCCTTTATGTGTATTTGTCACAGATTCTTAGTAGTCCACTCATTTTAGAGGTTGAATGCTGACATTTTGTGAAAGGTTAGTCAGTGAATAAGGGAAGAAATGCACGCGTATTCATATGTCTTTTGCCAATGCCAGCCCTGCTTTTCTCGTCAACGTATATTTATTCCTCAATTCAATGTCCAGTGGAAATTGCTGACTCCAGTACATAGTTTGATTTTAATAAGCTAGCCTGCACTTTATGATTCTCAATCCCTCGCCAATGAATAGTAGGTCGACCAAATTTCAAAGGGATAGATCTTTGACTTTTATTGTCAGTGGCTGAACAAAAAGATATTATGAGTTTCTTTATAAAAGAAATGCTTCCATGTCAACTGGAATATGTAAATTCATGCGCCATCTGATTATACGGTATACAGTTACAGAGACAGAGAGACATTAACATGAGAAAAAGAAAATACGTGGGTTCAAATTTTTCTTTATCCGTAAAAATCTCAAAAAGCAGGGTATGAGACAAAACTATAATCTTCGAAGCTTTTGAATCAGCTGGATATGCTGAAAAAGAATCAAACGATGTGTGTGTGTGTGTGTGTGTGTGTGTTTTGACAGGTATATGGATTAAACTAGAGTAACTTTAGTTGTTGTCACTCGCGTCGAATGTGGCATTTCCAAGAAAAAAATTGTAAAAATATCATAATATTACGACCGTTTTTCGTTAGTTAGCCTTCAGGTTTATGTGCTCTTACTGGGAATCTAGGAAAGGACAACGGCATGAACTAGTTAAACGATGTTTTTTCAGAGAGACAGAGACTCATTGAAATCAAGGGATGGAAAGTTGTATAACATAAACTTGTAAAAATACTTATAAATTACCAATTAAAAAATATTCCCATTAACAATGAAGTGTTGAGTCATGTTTTCGTAGAACATGAAATAAATTGTTGCGATTGAATGAATGCATATGGGCTGGGAAGCTGAGGAGACCAAATTGTCTACAGGAAGGGGAACGACACTGTAAAATGTCGTTTTGGACAATGGGGATGGGATGTCTAAAATCACATTCACATGTAGAGCCTCTCTGCGGATGCCATCCTCTAGTCTATGTACATCACAACGTAGATGCCCTCGAAATTTCAATGCAACTGTAAAATTAAAACCCCTCTTTATATGTAAATATCAAACGTGGTAAAAAGAAGTTAACAAATGGGAAACATATAACTTTTGATTCTTAAATCTTTTAAATTATTGATCTAGTCCCTAAATTTTAACTAAAAACAAATTAATTCATATAGTTTATTAAATTAGAATAACTCAAGTTTTATAACTTTTATTTCAATATAATTCATTTCTCATAACTTTTTAACTCAATAAATTATAAAAATTAAATTATAATAAATTAAAATTTAAAAATTAAATTAATAATGTAAGAAGTCATCAAATGTTAATTTTAATTAAATAAGTTATGATCGCTTGAACATGATATTTCAAGTTCAAGTATACATGAATATAAAAAAAAATTAAAAGAGTTTCTTTTAATTAGACTTTGACAATAATTAAATTCAATCCAATCAAAATCAAATTACTATATCAAACAGTTGATAATTAACCTATAGTAGTCCAATCTAATCTATAACTATATTAAAATATTTAAAAAATCTAGAGATCCTGTTGTCCCTTAAAAACGCACTATAAATATCAAGTATAAAAAAATAAAAATAAAATATAGCTATCAGGAACACGACTGATCTTGTACTTGACACAAATGGAACGGACCACCCTAAAGTTTGCAGAGAACTGAAAACACCCTAAGGCCTAGGCATAGTTTTCCTTATAGTCCCCACAATCCCATTCCCCACGTGACTCTGTTCCTCTCTTCCTCTCTTCCTCAAAGCTTCAGTGCTGTGCCTGTGCCCCTCTTGACTGAGTAGTGACCATAAATACCAAGCCAAAATTGTAACTTTGAGACACTTCCCTCACAGTTCTGGCCATGTCGCTGCGAAGCATCTGCAGAGAGAAAATGGGACTAAGAAAAACCAGGAGAGTCGGATCAGATTACTCAGAGGGAACAGTGATAAAGGAAATAGCCAAGAGATGGTCAAGTTATACAGTAGCGAGGAAGGAGAAAGAAGAAGAAGAAGAAGGCCTGCCAATGGACGTGCCAAAGGGTCACTTTGTGGTGTATGTGGGAGAGAGGAGAAGCAGATACATTGTGCCTATTTGGTTTCTGAGTCGTCCTGAGTTTCAGAGGCTGCTTCATGAAGCAGCTCAAGAGTTTGGGTTTTGCCAGCAAAGGGGTCTTACGATTCCTTGCCAGCAGCATGTTTTTTGAGTCTCTTGTCACTTCCTTGCTCCGACCATGAAGTTCAGATTCGAAAAGAGATCAAAACAACCCCATGCTCACTAGTCACTACTACTTTTTTTTTTTTTTTTGGTGGGGAGAAAACAGACAAAGACGAAGCTGATTCACTGGCTGTCTGCTTCTCTGGTTTTGGTTTCAACCACTTTCTCTTTCTTCTATTTTAGAATTAGGAAGCCTGAGAACGTCATGGCTGTAAATGTAGGTAGAATTAATGCGATATCTCTCCCATAGGGATGAAGGATTCTTCAGTGTAAACCTGTTGGAGACACTAACTTCTATATATATATCCTCTCCTCGTTAGCGTGAAAATATTTGTTACGATACAAGCTGCATTTATCCGTGAATTTTCGTTGCTCGATTGACATTTTAGGATATGTTCCTCATTCTAGGAGGAAATGAAATGAAATGAAATGAAAAGATCGATAGTCCAATTAAAGATTTTTTTTTATCCAAACTTTGCTAGTTAAAAACCTAGAATTAACGTTTTTTATCAGTTGAAAAGAAGTGGGAAAGAGTATAATTGTGACCGCGATCGCATCATATTTTGTTAATGGATAAGTGAAAAAATTTCGTCCATTTTCAATCTTCCAACTTAGAAAAACAGAGTCAAATTGTCTGGTTCAATGAGGATGGATGAGAATGGAAGAAAATAAAAGGACCACTTGAGAAGATGGAACAAAATTTCATGAAGAAAATGACAAGAGATGAACTGAAAGGAGGATAAAAGTGAAGAGAAAATATTTTTTCTCCTTATATTTGATAAATAAGAGAAATATAAAGAAAAAAATAACTAATTTTACAATGACAGTAATACCCAGATAAAAGATATGGTTATTATGTATGATTCTATTTCTCCCTTAAAAGAAAAAAGAATTAAAAAGTACATTTTCTACCCAAAATAATCGATTTGAGGGTGAAAGAAGAAAACATATGGGTTCTATGCTTCTATTCTATGCCTTTTTCCTCCTTTCTCACTTCTCTCTCTCCTCCTTATTTTTAATTGCTACTTAAATGGAAAATAGCTATTTTTTCTCTGATTTTTTCTTTCCTTAGTTTCCTCTCCACCTAATCACGGGGTAACAAAGTTGGATAGCAGTGAACAGTTCTGGAGTTGCTCCTTTATTATTCGACGTGTTATAAAAATATTTTATTATGATATTCATAATGAATTATTCGTTTATCTCTTTGATGTTTGGTTCTTTTTTAATTGAATAGCGCCCAAGTGAGCTATTCTAATGAGATATGCTACGATCGGAGCAAGTTCCACGGATGATTGCATATGCATACATTAATTATTAATAAAATTTCTATATTAATAGCAAGGTTTAAAACTATAACACTATAACCAATAATAATTAGTCTAATTAATTAAAATTTGACTCATAATTCATAAAATTGTATGATTAAATCCTGTTATCAATGTAAAGACATTGTGAATGAGTGATTTGTAAGTATTCATATAAGTATTTTTAGAGTCTGTAAACATAATTTGAGTATCTTGAGCAATTTATAAGTACTATTTGAATTTGAAAACATACTCTAATCTTGAATCCTGAGAACCAATCCAACGACCTAAACTTTTGATTTTTTAAAAAATAAAACTACGGGATTATAAGATATGAGCCAGATTTATTTTTACTGTTTGTTTGATTGTTTTATCCCTTGCCAACCAAAGAGCTAGGCAAGGGGTTGCAGAGCAAAAGATGGAGGCTGGCGCTCTCTTTCTCTCGGTTTTGATTTTTGATTTTCGCTTTTTTAGTTTTTTTGTTTTTCGTTTTTGGAGGGTGAGAGGTTGGGTTTGGTTAAATGCAGAGTTTTTGGGCAGTTGGGAAGTTGTCACGAAAGCACTCCGAAGTCCCAGCAGAGAGAAAGGAGCGGGCAGCGTCTAGTCACCACTCACCATTCACCGTTAAGAATCTTTTCTCATGTGCAAAGTGAAAACTCTGCCTTAAAAAAAATAATAATAACAAAGGAGAAGTCAAGTTGTGATTTTTATTAATCTTAACTTTTTTAACCAACAATCTTAATTTAAACCGATATTCTTATATTATTTAAACCGTTAAAATTTTATACACTTAAAATTAATGAATGAATAAATTTATCTGAACTGTTGATATGAATTTCAACAGTTTACATAGTATAGGTATTGAGTGTCTCCATTAAATATAATCACTGAATCAAAATGCTTCCCTGTCTATAATAGCAATGAGAACATTTTTTGTAGTATTTGATGCTTAATTAATTAGGTGATAATGACTATAAAGGTGTGTTTTGTTTAAGGAGAAGAGAAAAAATTTTAATGAGCTTTTGTTTGATTTAAGGAGAGAGAGAAGGAAAACCAATAATAAGTTGACAATTTTATGCTTATCAATTTTAAATTGATCCTTTTATTTTGATTTATCATTAAAATAGTTACATTATATTTTAGTAATTTTATTATTTTAAGAATGTGAACTATATTGGTAACATATTTTAAAGAATAAATGCATTAATATATGTATCTAATGAAGAAGTATTAAAATTTTAGACAATAAAAATTATATATTAATTTTGTAACATGATAAAATTTATTTAGTTACAAAAGAGAAATGTGAAGATAATGCATAATTTTTTAATATCAAATATAATTTAAAATTTTAAAATAATAAGTAGGTAATTGCCCCCTTCTTTTTCTCTTTAATTTTTTTTAAACCAAATAAAAAAAGGAGAGCAACTCTTCTCACCTCCCTTTGAAAACTTTCAACTAAACACTTAAATATGTTTGAAAGTATGGGATGAAATGAAAATGAATAATTATTAATTGAATAAAATGTGGTAAAATAAGATGGACTGAAGTGAAATTGAACATTTCAGTATTTAAAATTTCATTAAAAATAAATAATTTTATTTAATTAAGGAGGTGGTTATAAGATTTTTTTTTTCCCCCTAAGACGCGCTTGGGTGGGTATCCAGGAGGGACAGAAAGGACAAAGGAAGGACCCCTCTCCGACTCTCACCATGGTTTAACATCGAGGCAACTTCACATGTGTAATAGTACCCATCTTGTGCATGTCGCTCGTCTGATCCGATCCATGTCCACTTTCACACTCAAAACAAATTCTCAGTAAGCTCCACCCTTCTCACCGTCACGTAATGATCCTATATAGACATTTGATTCCTCCCAGACCCTGTTGGCTGTTATTATTATAATTATAATTATAAATATAATAATAAACGTGATTTATATTGCAGTCCGTACATGCACGATGGCTTGATCGGCAAAATAATAATAATAATAATGGTCTATCTATGCATGCCCTCCAATCTCATTTATAAGGTAAAGATGAATGTATTTATTTATCCTAATTATAAGGCATGTTATTAATTTTTTTTTATTATAATTCTTCTCTTTTATTCTCATTAAATAAAGGCTTGAACATTTTCTTGAGATTCTCACTCATTCTTTCATAAATAAGAGTAAAGTTAAAAGATTATTAAATTTTTCAATAGAATTAATGAGTTTTATTTTTTTAATTCTAATAAAACATGCTAATTTATATAAATAGAGAGTGGGGGATGCATGATAAGATGAATCCATGATTTTCAGCAAATTTCAATTTGGGGCCAGCTCCTTCGGAGACACTCAGACAAGTGCACCAGAAGGGGGCCAAAAATAAATGAACATCAAAGACTTTTTACTAATTTGAAGCCATTCTGATGGAATTGAATGGCCGAACAAATATAATTTGACGCCAGCCTGTCCCAATTTAAGTTGCTTGACATAAATAAAATAGTTACTCAACCGTATGGTCAGAAATTATTCGGTGTCTGCGTTATAATTGAAGAAAATAATAGTAGATAATTAAAGACGGTCGATTTCCAGTCCAGCCCAAACCAAGGATGGGGTGATCCTTAATGACGGCTACAGGTGGATCTCGCTCAAATACACATATTTTCTCTCTCGAGAAAAAAAATGTTTTTTTGTTTTTGTTTTGTACCAACTTTGTGCCCTTAAATTGTTGAGAGATCACAAATTGTGATTGTGATTCACAACCACGTGATGACTTGCTCCCATGTTTCATCTTCTCTGGGAGAAAATGGTCTACTCTCATGTGGGTTGGCTGGATCATATTTCATTTTATAGACATCCATGCGCGATGATCATATGGAAACCAGATTGTCCATTTACTTAAAATCCACATTCTACAGTCAGCATATTGGTAAGACAACGAATTTTTCGATGTCAATTCGTTTACCTCATGATATACGGTAAACACCATATGTTGCAGCTAGAGGCCCTCCTAACTGCTGAGCACAGTTTGTGTAATCAGTCAGAAGAAAGCCCAGAAGGCCAGTGAGGAAACAGGATCATAAATCAAAGAATGGTAGTATAATTTTAGTGTGTATGACAGGGATAGATGGAGCACCTCAATTCTGATATTTCAGCCAAACCCTGGATTCTAACAACCTTCAAAATCTAAAATCCGTTGTGGACTTCTTGTCTGTTGCCCATATAGTATTAAGGTATAAATCTGTGAAAATATGGTCTATTCAACATACTCGGTCATAGTTGAGAGACCGCGTCATTGTTGTCAAATTACAGAACCGGGGGTAAAAACGGGTGAAAAGAACGTTTAAGGAAGAAACACAGAGTTACCATATACAGCCATTGATACAAAAATCACCTGTCATTCAAAAGATTCTCTCCTTAACCACACAAATCTCATTATGTAAAATCATGAATGGGCAAAGCACTGATGCTCTCCAAACGACTTCAACATGAGGTGTCATTGCATACTTGCTAGAGGCTTAGCGCCCATTTTTCCCTTTTGATGAAAAGAATCTACTAAATCCTCGGGCCTGCGCAAGTTTCTCCGGCGTGGGGGCAGAAGAAACGGAGGAGGAGGCCGATTTGGTAGGCCTGTGTCTTGGATGCTTTGCTGGAGATATGGGGGCAAGGTTTGCTTCATTGTCAGATGGACAAAGGCTGTTGGAGGAATACAAGGGGGACTCTGGACCCAATCTTTGCACAAATGCCGAACTAGCACTGTCCATCTCATCTAACTCTTGCAAGTTTGGGTTACTAATAGTAGGCTCCT